TGGAGTGCGAGGGGCTGCTCCCTGGGCTGCTCCCTGGGCTGCAGGCTGGCTGCCCGCTCACATAAGCAGAGGAGTGCCTTTTTCCCCGTGCTCTTAATCTTTCTCTAAAGGCTTATAACAAACAGGGGTCCCTGCCTTCCCTTCAGCCTTTGTGACAGCAACTTGTTTCATAGGGACCAGCTACAAACGTACCTTTGTGTCTATCTAGATATTCTCATTCAAAGTTTATTTGGCTTAGGTTATTTTTTTTTTAAGTTACATGCTTTTTATCTGCATATCTATGGCTGTCGCTGGTAGTTGATACACTTAGGACAAAGTCTGCTAAGTTTACTCATGCTAGTACTAATAGATCTGTGCATGTGTGTATGTACACATGCAAGCAGCTGCACTTTGGACAGGGAAAATAAGCCCTGGTTGTTTACTTTTATTGTGTTTATACATTTTAATCCTGTGGCTGTTTTACAAGAAAACCTATGCAAACATATTGTGACTGTATCAATCAGTTCAGCTATTCAGAAAGTCCATTTTGGCAACAATCTTAAAAGATGAATCATTAGGAATGAAATTCTTAGGTGATTTTTGAAAATGAAATGTCACCTCCTGGGTCATGGCGTGGAAAGTGTCATCTGTAGTATTTTATAAGTGTGAGGTGGTTCAACTGTAGGAAGAAAAATACCAGTGAACTACAGACAAATTTGCTAAAATTCTGAGAAAAATAAAATATATTAAATAGCATATCTTCTGTCCTTCTCACCATTTGATTTGTGGTTTCATGTCTGTATTAAGAATTAGGTGTTTAATGCCAGCAGTGCACTAAACTCTGAAACTGTGCTGGTCACAAAAGAGACTGATTTTCCTCTCAAATATAATGCTGTTTGTGTGACCCTGAGTTGTAGCTGATGTGCAGATGGGTGGTGGTGGTAGTTCAAGGATAGATTGGGCCATCCTGAGTTGTGCCAGCTGGGACTTTATTTGGCCAGTAGCCCCAGGGGAAGCAGCAGGGAGTAAGAGACTCCTGGGAGGGGATCAGGGTGGCAGAAGAGAGTCCCCAGAGCCTTTTTGTGATGGTGTGCTGACAGCTTTTGCTGGCAGAGCTTGGTTTTTCCAGCCTTGCATGTGGGGAGGGAGCTGTGGAGGCTGCTGTGAATGCAGAGCAGGTCAGGCTTGCTGGGAGACACAGAGTTCCAGGCCTGGGCCTGCTGACACTCAAACTGGAGGATTTCCCTAGCTGGGATGCGTTTGCTAGCAAGCAGGAGTTTGTAACTTTTTATTTTCACAGGACAGCTATTGCAGACATGAGCGGGGTCACTGCACGGGCAAAGGGAAGGCCCTTGGTTTCTTGTTTAACAGGGCAAGGCTTTCTTCTGAGTGAAAGAGTGAGGGTAATTCTTCTTTCAGGCTCAGAAAGACTTGTGTCATCTGTTGCTGTTAAGAAACTCAGATATTCTACAGACTGAAAAACTAGGTTTTGTCCTGAGGAAGACCAGGTCTTAAATGACACTGAATTAGATGGATTAGGAAATGATCTACTGTACCTTCTGCCTATAACCAGTGCATGTCCGTCTTGACAAATATAGCAGGGTCTAGTCTTGAGGGAACCTGTGTTCGTTTCTCCTGGGGAGACTGATGTTCCTGGACATCTGAAGTTTGACTCACCAGAAATCTGGTCTGGCTTTTTTAAATCTTGGGCTGTGGAATTTCTTTTCTTTTTCTGCTGCAAAATTGAAACAATCCAACGTGGGACAGTTTGCATGCTTTGGTTTACAGAAGTATTTTTCCTTCCCAATGAAATGATGGCTTGTGTTGTTTCATTCTGTGTAAGCATAACAGCCTGCTGATCAGGGAAGGCAAGCTGCACCAGCAGAGCTCTCCCTTCTCTCCAGGGCTGGCTGTTCTATATGAACATGTCTGCTGTGTTCTTGCCTTGCTGTTAGCAGCTGTGCCTGGGTGTGGCACGTGTGTATCTGCTGTTCAAAGAGCCCTTGATCGAGTCTGAGAGAGCCGAGGTGGGGAGAGTGGAGATGCAGCACGCAGCAGGTTCGGCCCCACACGAGCAGATGCCGTGCTGAAAGGCAGATCTGCAGGCAGAGCAAGGATGCTGCCCTGGCCATGCAGGGACTGGGAAGCTGAGGTGCTGCTCGTGGGGTCTGTCTCTCACAGCACAGCAGCTCTGTCCCTGCTGCTCTGTCTCTCACAGCACAGCAGCTCTGTCACTGTGGGTGTTTTCACAGGGGTGCCTGCATGGCTGCCCCTCTGCACTTGCTGTGTGGCCACCATGGTCCAGTGGTGTCCCCTCCCCTGCCTCTGCCCCCTTCACACCAGTCCCAGCTCAGGCTGAATTCTCATACCTGAGGATTATTTCTGCATTTGCACACCAGGGCAGGACAGCGTGAAGAAGCCAGATTCAGCCTGCTGGGGGAGCAAGGAAGGTCACTTTGTCCCTGAGTGCTTTTCTTCACGTCTGAACTACAATGCGGTGATGCTTCTCAGTACTGTAACATCAAAGGGCAATTGGTGCCAAGCTGCTGCCTCTCGTTACTGTTAGGCAAACGAGACTTTGTATCATGGCTTTTCAGAACCTGCTTTCCCGCGGACCCTGGTGCAGTTCACTAGCAGCCAATGGCAGCATAGTGGAACAATTTACTGAATTACAGCTCACACAATTTGCATTGCACTAAAATAGTTCAGATTTTTTTTACTAGCCCTGTCTTCAGTTCTTGTTCTCCCCCTCAGCCCCGTTTCTGCTTCAGGGAAGAAATGAATGCCGAATGCTGACTCAACCAATTGGGCTGAGAACCGCAGGGTTCAATCCTGAGCTTGCGCACCAGGGGCCCACTGAGGCCGGATAAATCCACGGCAGGGTGTTCATTCTGACTGAGCCAGCACACGCTGCCTCGTCAGGAGCTGCTCCTGGCTGCCTTGTGCTCTGGGAAAGCCTCCAGGATCTCAGATCCTCTTGGATGTCAGAAAATATGGGAAATTCACAGAGACATGAAGGCGTAGGAGATAGCAAAGGAAAGGTGAAGAAAACAGGTAAGTTTCTTGTGACATTAGTGAGATCAGCAGTAAATCCCAGGAGACATACCATACCTGAAAGGATTTTATGGCCTGGGCTAATTTTTTACAGGGTTGTAAAAAGCACAACAACTTCCTGTAAAATAACTTATACAGCCATAAAAACCATATTTCGTCTCGTCATTTAAGATTAATGTTTTTTGAGATCACAGGAAGACTTTTCCAGTGGATCACCATAAGTTCCAGATCAGCATATTTTTCTCTTTCATGCGTTATTCGGTTTTTATTTAGAAATATTTTAAAATATTTCTGCCTCCCTGAGGATCACCTTTTTTTCCCCTGACCCTTTATTTGAAGCCCTGTGTGGAGTGTTTGGCGCTCTGTGTGCATGGGGGGCAGACAGAAATCTCACTGTGGGATGGGAGGGAGAGCAGGGCTGGTGAAGGAGACTTCAAGAAGGTTTTGATGCAAGTATATCAGGTTAATTATTGTTAATTAGCAGTTCATGTAACTGTGAAGAGGAGATTCGCCCTAACTAATGTAGTCCCTTTTGAAAGCAAAATGTTGTCTTTAACTGCCTGGTAGTCAGAGGGTGTGATTATTCACACAGCATTGTTTTTTCTCCTGGACTTCACCTGGAGCTCTGGGAAGGGCAGAATCTGCAAGCACTACATAAAATACCACTAAGAGTGGTATTTTACCTGTGCTGTTTGCACACAAAGGCTGTGGCTGCTGTAGAGAACTGAAATGATCTGTGTGATGTGTGATATGGAGTATCAACATTGACCTGGGCTTTGCCAGGAAATGCCCAGCTGGAAGGGCCATGGCTGAAACACACACAAGATCAGGACTTAAAGAGCTTGCAAGCCCAGCTTTGGGGTAATTCCTCATCTCTGGCCAGACTGAGTCTGACCTGCAGAAAACTGCTTTAATCCCAATAGTTTTTCCTTCTTGGCTTCCAGATGTCAGTGAAAGAACAGCTCAGGGTGGTACCGGAGGGAGCCACCCTCCCACCCCAGAGGTGTCTGGATGGACAAACAGCAGCTCAGGAGAAATGTCTGTTTTGGTGGTGATGAGCTCTGGAGGCAGCAGCCTACAATTGATAATACTGTGTAAATATCAGAATAATCCACCCCGCCCTGCCCACCTGGACCCTGTTGGGCTGGTTGAGGGTGCCATCAGCAAGCACCCAGCTCTGTGCTTCAGGCATCTGCACCTTCCAGTTGCCTTCATGGTGAAGCCAGTGGTGGGGAAGGTCTGTGCTGTGTGCGCTGGAGCTGCCATTCCCCACGTGTTGGTCAGCTGGAGCCACCCCGTCCTCTGGAGTTCAGTCCAATGTGCAATGAGCTGTCTTTTGGATGAGATGAAGTTTCTCAGGCTGCCGAGTTGGTTTTTGTGGCTGTGAGGGCTGCCTTGGGTGTTGGCAACATTTCCTTTGGCACTCTGTAGTGGGATAGATAAGTGCAGTACATTGCTGGAGCCATCTGACATTTTGTTACTCTAAAGGCAACCCCCAAAAAGGGTCTCTCCAGTTTCCACCTCCTGATTTCCCCTCCTCCAGCGAGCCTGCTCTGTGGAGGTTTTGGGCTCTATTGGACTGTGTTTTGTTTCCTGCAGTGCCATGTTGCTGTGCACACACCCTTACACACACAGGAGGCACTCACAGCAATATTAGTGCATGAGGGCACTCATTATTAATTAACCCATTTAACGCCATTATCTGTTGGACTCTCCTTTGTTTCCTGCAGTGCCATGTTCCTGTGCACACACACACACACAGCAGGCACACAGGAGGGGCTCACAGCAATATTAGTGCACGAGGGTACCCATTATTAACTTCCATGTTGTACAAGAGTTAGAGAAGAGAGTTTACAGGCATTTTCCATCCAGGTTAACTATTGCAGTATAAGTTTCATTGTGTACATCACTGCCTTAAGCCTCAGTGAAAGCTGGTTGCAGGCACAGGTTAAGCCATCCACCCACCTCAAGCATCTTGCAGGAGTGCTGTGTGTGAGCAGCAGCTCAGATTTTCTTTACACCAAAAGGTTGAACCATTCCGACCAAACCTTCTAAAGCAATCACTTGTTATAGAAACCTCTTGATTTAATCAGGGTCTAGGTCTGTTCTGTTTCACTAGTTTAAGGTAACTAGGAAGATTTAAGCAAACTTTTCATTATCCTTGCACAAACTGAGGCCACAGCAGCATCCCACATAACCTGCAGGCTGGGGGTGTATCCTGCACCTTCCATACCAGCACTGCTGTCTGTGATGAGAAGGAAAGGCAGGTGGTCAGTTAATGAGGCCAGGGCTTGTTTTCCAGGCAAGGATCTTGTCCCTCACTACAAGGGAGATCAGGGCAGATTGAAAGTTCACTCTTAGGATGTTTTATGTAGATGCTGTTCTGCTATACAGACAATAAGTTAAATGCTCACAACCTGTCCCTTTTAATTCTGGTTTGAAAAGCTTGCTCTCTCTTATTTCTTTGAGGAATAATGATGGACCTCTTAAGTTGGGGAGAGAAGACCTCTCTCTCATTTAGAAAGGGGTGCCAGAGGGAAAGACAGGGAGCACGTTGCCTTTTAGGAGAGATATTGAGTCATTCTTCCTTGCAGAAGTCTGGCAGGCAACATTGCAGAGTTCATTTCTGAATCAGAAGAGTGTGTAAGGACTGCTTGTTTCATTCACTGCATTGATCTTATTTCCCATATTACTCATAATGTTAAAATACCCACGTCACTACACTGTGTACCAGAGACATTTATCTGCTGATTTTCAGGTAATTGTAAATTGAGTGTGTCTGTGTGAGCCAGCCAAAATAATCTGGGTTAGACCGTGGATGTTATCTGTGCTTGTGGGTGTGGGGGAAGGAGGGACTGCTGCGGCACAGTCGTGTGTGAGGCCCTGGAAACATCTTCAGAGGAACAAAAGAGAGAAGAGGACAGTGGTTCTTATTTCTGGCTACGTCTGTATTTCCTTCACTGCCACTTTCAGTTTCCTTCCTGCTCAGGTGAAGGTGGCTGAGCTTTTCTCATAGTGCCTCTCTTTGCTGTTGTGTGCCTGGGGACAGCTAGGGAGCTGTCCTAGCATGGGCCTGGGGAAGGTTAACGTGGGCACTGGCATTGCCAAGGGAATCCCTGCTGCTGCCTGGCACAGCTCCTGCAGGGACAGCCCCTTGCAGTGGGACTACTTGAAAATATATACTTGCAGTACTTAAAAATACTGGCCTAAGTTTTTGAAATTGCTGATTTCAGATGGGCAGCTGTTGAAGCCACTGAGCTGGAACAAATCAAAAGGAGCTGATTTTCAAAGTTGTTATCTATTTTCTAGGCAGTAATTTCCTTTTAGGCATCTGGGATGGGGGGAGTACCAAAAGTCATCTATGACTTTTAAAAGGACCTGAAGTGCTTTAGACAGAAATGCTGGGATAATTGTGGAGGTGTTACCTTCTCAAATCATGCTGGGCACTATTGACTCTTCATGTCCTCTTTCAGCATCCACAATGGAGTGATAGCGGTGTTCCAGCGCAAGGGTCTGCCAGACCATGAGCTCTACAACCTCAATGAAGGAGTCAGGTAAGAGCCTGGGGCTGCAGGGCCTTCTCAGCCAGTGCTCAGTGCTGTGTGCCAGCCCTGGCACCTACAGCTGCTGCTGAGGGTTCAGGTTTGTCCCAGTGCCAGTTTGTCTGCAACAGATTAACTGTAGGCCAGTGAGATGAATGATGGGAACTTTCTTCCCTTTAAAAAAAAGTGAAATTTCTACCATTTGAGTTATTTAAGTTACAGTTGAAAAGAAAATATACCAAGATATAAGCTGATATCTGGATTTACAACACTTCACATTTTACTACTTTTTCAGCACTTACTATTACTTACCCAACCCTCTCACTGGCAAGGGCAAAGCAGCAGACTTCCATATGGAAATTTGCCCAATGCCTTATAAAATAAATGGTGGGAAAGAATCTGCACTTACAAAAGACAGACAGCTTATTATGTTTCCTAGCTGTCTCCTGATATGATCCTCAGTTATTCCCTTTCCCTGCTTATTGCTGCTCTGGCTGGGCAGACACTCCAGTATATTCCCCAGAATACACAGATATTCTGGCTTCATCTGTCTCTGTCTGATTCCCAGTCTGGTTCCTTTCATTGTGGAAATATCTTCAGAAAAGTCCAGCCAGATGATACTGGGCCTGTGTTTGCTCTTCTTGAAATGAAAATAAACTCACTCTTCAGTTATTTCTTACGTGGCTGGTGAGAAAATGACATACAAGGAGTAGCTTTTCTAGGTTGTCTGTCAGTCAGCATGATCCATCAATCATGCTGAGTTACTTGCTGGAATAATGGTTAATCAGTGTTATTATTGTAAGTGCCTTTAGGATTGTTCAGCTTTATCTGACTGACAAAAAAGGTACTTCTGGACTGAGATTGCTTGGCCCAGTGCATTTCCCTTAATGTGTTCATCTGCTGTTGAGGGACAGAAGTGAAAAAATTTTCTGCTGATGTGTCAGACAAATATAATCTGGTATGAACCAACAAACAGACAGAAATGTGCCCAAATTTTGCTTTAATTTACTTGGCTATAAACCCTGCACCACAATGATGCTTGGTGACATTGTTGATTTCAATTTATTGCATCATCTCATTTGACTGAACATGCAAGCTGACTAGAAATGCACTGATGGAAAGCATGATTCTTTTTTTGCTCTTTTTAATACAGGCAATTACTGAAAACAGAACTGGGATCATTTTTCACTGAGTATCTGCAGGTAGGCCTGTGTTTTCTTTATTTAAAGACAATTCTGTTTTATGCTACTGAGAAGAATAATTTTGCCCACTCTAAATGATGACCTGGAGACCCTTGAAAGCATTCAGAGATGTCCAGTGACTCCTCTGTGGTTTTGAAATGAACGGATTAACGAGATTGGCATTTTGTATACACACGGATAGTTAGACAGGGAAAGCCCACCCTACCACGGTGTTTCTGTAGGTCACTGCTGTCTTTCTTTTGGTTTCAGACCTTGGTTTTTAGCTTAAAATTGAAGTCCTTGAGTAAACCAGGGAAGTTCATTGCAATAGAGTTACTAGGAAAGACTTTTGGAAGTCAGTACCACTGTCTGTTGAAGCAATATTCTTTCTGCTTCTCTGAGTACATGTTTTGTAGGTCAGGCATTTGAAGTTCGAGAAGCACTTTGTCCTAAAAACAGCAGGTGATTATAGCAGAATTTCACAAAGGGTCCCAAGTCAGTTAAATAAGATGGACACAGCAAGAGCTCTTTGATGATTAATTTTTAAAATAAAAGACCCCCTTCACTGTCTAAAGTTAAGAATGAACAAAATGTGAAATATGATGGCTGTAGGGAAGTGCAGGATTGAGTAAATGTAGTGTGTGTTTTACTTACAGAATCAGCTGCTCACAAAAGGCATGGTGATCCTAAGGGACAAGATCTGGTTTTATGAAGGTAACTTGGATTTTAGCATGGCTATGTGTGTCACAGGTGTTTTAGCAAATGCATTCTGGAGACACTGGCATGCTCTTCACCTCTGTTCCTG